AAACCATTTCTTTACCTACAAAGTAAGGGCAGCCTTCCTCACTGAGCCCTGTGGCACACCAGGCACAATGCCTAGCAGCTGCTCTTAACTCAGGTGGTGTTCCCTGTGGGTGAGGAGTCACACTTCTCTGTCACACATTTGAACAGAGACTTAGATACTGAAGAAACCCAACAGTGTGACAGTGGGTCCTCACCAGATGTTGATTCTTCCCATACCCATCTCCTGCTGATGTGTGCTCTAGCAGAGTGACAAGCAGAGTGACGAAAGGTCTGGGTGGTAGGAATTCCAAATGCCCTTATTTTTAAGTGCCTTGCCTTTCTCCTTCACGAAAACTGCTTGATCTAGATAGCAGCCAGGTCTATGAACACTTGGGTGGGATAGCACAGATTAGTGCCTTACAGAAATTATGACCAACTTCTATTAGACAGCTTCTGGCAACAGTGATTGGCGAAGAATACCTTCCATCTTCCTGAAAGACCTAGTTTTGAGAGAAAGATGATGAGGCCTTGAATTCACAGGATTGAGTCCCTGTCCTGGGCAACTTGGGGGATCCTGATTGAATTACATGACAGGGGAAAGGTGGGTTATAAGGTATCTTGGTGGCAAAATTATAGTGTGTGGAAATCTTGAAAAGGAGGAAAGAAATTGGGATTTTTTAGATTAAAAAGTAGGGAAGTTGATTTCCCATAAGATTTGTACCCCAATAAAAGCACCTGATTGAAAGTGAGTATTTTAAGAACAACTCAAAAAGCAATATGACTGGATCTATCTTCTGTGCCTTCAGCCAATGATCCAGGACCATCCCTCACCTATGTGCTCTCTCGTGCTCCTGGAGTGATCAGATGAAGGATGTGTGGATGGCCTGGTATCAAATCTAGCACTAAGGTAGCTTTTCCAACCTAGGTATGATACAGGCCCTGGGAGGCTTCTTCACTTACTTCGTGATTCTGGCGGAGAACGGTTTCCTCCCCTTTCACCTGTTGGGCATCCGAGAGACCTGGGATGACCGCTGGATCAATGATGTGGAAGACAGCTATGGGCAGCAGTGGGTAAGTGACAGTGGCTCCTGGGATCAGGAAGTCAGAGCTCCCCAAGCCCCAAGGACTGTGGTCAAACTTATGCCAGCCCTGCACGGGGAGAGGAGCCAGGATTCAGACAGATGATGTCACCTTTCAGACTTACGAGCAAAGGAAGATTGTGGAGTTCACCTGCCACACTGCATTCTTCGTCAGTATTGTGGTGGTACAGTGGGCCGACTTGGTCATCTGCAAGACCCGGAGGAATTCTGTCTTCCAGCAGGGGATGAAGTAAGTGAAGGGCACAGTACAGGGTCTGCTGTTGTTTAAACCTTCACAATAAGCCAGCATCTGACACCTATGGCCAAGTTTCTGAACTCTACCTGGCACACATGTCCACCTTATGCCCTGCAGTCTACGTGCAGCTGAGGTATCTGTGAACAGAGCCCAACTCAAAATCTTTAAACTTTTCTTAAAACCTTAGTTTTTTGTTTTCGTTTTTTTTTTTTTTTTTTTCTTCTTGCAATTCTCCCCAAGCATGACCTTGGCAGATGACAAGGTATTGCAATGTCAAAAGGTTGGGCACGCCCACTTCAGAGAGTGTGGTGGAATTTTCAGTTCTCCCCTCTACTGATAGCTTTTGCTTGGAGGTGTAGATCTGCCATTGAGCCCACAGCTTTAGAAGATAAATCTGTGTTGGCATCTTTTAAGCTTTTGTCTCTCTTGAATTTTAGGAACAAGATCTTAATATTTGGCCTCTTTGAAGAGACAGCCCTTGCTGCTTTCCTCTCCTACTGCCCTGGAATGGGTGCCGCTCTGAGGATGTATCCCCTCAAGTAAGTTGAGCCGTTTACATTCCAGAAGGTGTGGACTTAATTGTTGTGACTTTTCCCCTCATGCCATGTGTAAGGGCCTGTTCCTGTGGCTTCTGAGTGGTGTGTATAAGAATTTCCCTGGACTGGAAGGTGGGAAAGCCAGACCTACCAGTAAATCAGACTCACAAATTGAGACCTGTGTTGTGTGGCCCAGGGCCTAGGATTTGGCCCAAGGTGATGCAGGCTCTAGTTTCTTGAAATTGCTCAATAGTGCTGTGTTGAACCCTCAGGTCCTCTGCCTGAGGACCAGTCCAGCTGTCCTAAGAGGCCATCAGTGATATCCTGGATACTGGGGACTCAGGCCCAAGTTCTGAGTTGCTTGTCTGAGTCACATGTCACCTCACCTTTCTGAGGCTCTGAAGAAGGATGGAGAAGGAAAGTCATGGTTCCTTTTACCTCATGGGTAGAGCTGAGCACAGAAAGCAAATCACTTCTCCCTTCCTTTCTCCCCTCCCTCCCCCCAACACCTCCCCCCCCCTCTCCCCCCCCCCCCCCCCCCCCCCAGTAGCCTTAAACACAGTGAATGACTGTACTTCTATTAAACTTGAATTTTCACACAGGGTTCGCTATAAAGCCAGGAACTTTCAAGTAATGTTTGCTGGTGGTTAGTAACTGAGTGAGGCTGAACAGCTCCAACTTGATTAAACATGTTAAGCTGCAGAGCAGAGGGCCCTTATAACACAAGGTCTTTTGAGAAGGCTTTAGACTTAGAACATTGGTCTCTTGAATTGTCCCTGCCCCTGTCCTTGCTTAGACTCATCTGAATTATTGCCCAACTGGCTTTATTGCCAGTACTTGCCTCCACTGATCTCATCCTTGAATTGAAACCCTTGGACTCAAGTGTGTGCAGGCATTGTCTGTGGTGCAAAGTGGGGCTGGTATCCAGAGCGTGTCTCATTGTTGTCCTAGCCTGTCAAAGGCCCCTGCTAGGTGAATTCAGTATTCCTCTCTCCTCTACCTATGTGCTTTGATGTGATGTTCCTGCCCACACCGTCATCCCAATAATCCTTTGGAGCTGACGTCCTTGGAGCTTGTCTCCTTGTGGTCTTGCCCTCCTGGCCTAGGCTGTGTCACCTCTCCATTGGCATTCCATTCTGTTCTCTAGATGGCAATCTTTAAAGCATGGGGCTCAGTCGGTGCCTTTTTGCATTTGGTTCCCCAGTACTCTGCAGAGCTCGTGTGCAAGACATGTCTGAGTTGAATTATGTTGGCCTGGGCCTTGTTGAGCAGGAGGAGGTTAGAAGAGGCCACAGGTTTCTAAACAGCTAGGCTGCAAAGTCACCTGAGAGAAGGTAGAATCTCAGGCTGAGCCCTTGGATCTTTTGTGACTGCTACAAAACTTGTTCCTGATATGTTCTACCCGATTTGGAAGGTGGTTTGGTTGTCTGGTGGCTAAGTCAAATGAGGTCACCTCTCCACTGCTGTATAGGGCACATGGGTGGGGGGACTGCAGAGCTGCCAAGGCCATCCTTCCTCTGTGTTTACCCAGGAGCCCGTAGTCAGGGAAGGATGGTGCCTGCAGGAGCCGCCTGGAGCCTGTCTCTCTGCTGGGGACCAGGTGGCAGCTGCTCCAGGCCCCTGAAGGCCTTTGTCATCTGTCAGGGCTCCACTTCTTTTATTCCCCAGATCTGGGACTCACAGCACACAGCTGGTCCTCCCAGATTCCACTGCCAGAGCTCAACTACAGGGAATTAGTAAACTGGCTTGACCCACACTGCAGTTCTTTGTCTTCAAATGCCAAGGCGGGAAACAAGTGCATTTGGAAACTTTTTAAACACTGAAGAAAAGGAAGAAAGAAAATGTTCAATCTCTCCCAGGTTGTCAGTAGGAGATGTACTCAGCTCACTCTTTAAACCCAGTTCTTAGGAAAGTCAAGCTAAAGGCAGATAGGCTTCCTTCAGGAGGGGCAGGCCAGCTTCTCTGGCTCCAGGCCTGGCGATGGAGCAGTCTGCTTCTAAGGGTTTCTGTTTGTTCTGTGAGTGACTCAGTAGTTAACGGTGACTGTATTCAGCTGATTGTTCCCTCATCACTATGGAGATGTGTGTTTTCTCATCTCCCTTTGAATCTATTCATGTGTGTCTGACTTGGTCCTGATTGTATTTCCAGACCTACCTGGTGGTTCTGTGCCTTTCCCTACTCCCTCCTCATCTTCGTGTATGATGAAGTCCGGAAGCTCATTATCAGGCGACGCCCTGGCGGTAAGTCAGCATATTAGTCGGCTTTTGGTAGGTTCTCTTTGATAGGTCTGAGCTTCCTTGGGGGTCAGTTTACAGACATGTCTTCCCCACAGAGAATTCTATACAAGTAGCATTCAATTAAGATTTGAGAATAGATTGTAGTTTTTAAGACTTTAATAAAGCACAGACCAAATACAGGGTCAGGAGAAGCTTGTCGTAGACCTAAACCATCTTTCCAGTTAACACAGTATTCCTGGAAAGAGTTAAATAGTCACAGCCGAGGTCTCGGTTAGGCTTGGGTTATATAGCACCCTCACTGCCGTTTATCCTGAGGGAACCTCCACCCTGTTTTTTCCTTCTCCATGTCTGGTTAAATACTATTTCTCTCTTTCTCTCCCTCCCTCTCTCTCCCCTCTGCCCACAGGCTGGGTGGAGAAGGAAACCTACTACTAGTCCCCTACCCTGCATGCCGTGGAGCATCGTGCCACACACTGCGCCCAGTCCCCTCCCCCTCTTTGTGTACTTCAAGTCTTGGAACTCTATCCTGGTAGGAAAGCACCGGAGCATGTGGGGAGCCAGACATCCTGGAATGAAGCATGTAGCTGTAATGGGGGGCGGGGGGAGGGCTGCCTGAAAAAACACCCCGTATGGGAGCGACAGTGGGGAAGGTTTCTATGTACCTTTTTGTTTTTGTAAAAAAGGAAAACCTGGAAAGACTGAAAGACTACGTTTTATATCTGGATTTTTACAAATAAAGATGGCTATTATAATGGAATCTGTCTCAGGTCTGCGTGGCTTCTTGGGTACAGTGGTAGTACATGATGAGCTGCGTGAGCCTCCCCAGGCCAGCAGCTCAGCAGCACCCCCTGGGGCTTGTTAGGAAGGCAGCCCAGCCCTGATGAGCCTATCAGCAGGTGCTTAATAAGCTCCCAAGTGACTGACAGTTTCGGTTCTGGCCAAGGGGAAACTGTCCCTGTTCCTGTAGATGAGCTTCCGGGGCCTGTTTTCCTGGGCACTGCTGGGTTGTTGCGGCTGTAAGTCCATCTGGCTTCTCAGTGGGGAACACTTCACTTGAGAGATTTCTAAACCCTGGTTACCTGAAGCTTGTCTCAGTCCCTCACACCTTCCTGCTTGCTCTCTAAAACTCAGCACAGCTTCAAGTACCTCAGACCTGGCTTGTCTAGAAGTGGAAGCCCATGTGCAGGGCTGGGGGGCATGTGTGCTCAGGTGCTTCCCTCCTTAGAGTCCTCCCTGAGTCAGCACCACCAGCACCATTATATCTTGACAGAGCCAGAAAGCCCTGAGGGAAAGATGAAGGGTTCTCTGGGCTTCAGGTTATGTGGCAGAGCATTGTTACTTTAGAGGGCTTCCATTCCGACAAGGCAGCCCCATGAATGACTGCCATCACTATGGTCAAGAAACAGTACTCACCTGTGGCACCAAACGTCGACCTGCCACATGATCCTTGTTTTTCTCTGAGAAGCTTGATTCATGTTTATGTGCTGCTCTGAGTTGTGTGGGGGAGCAGGTGCCATATACCTGCTGTTGCCAGCACCAAACTTGAGAGAGAGGTAAGACTCTCTGACCTCTTAGTCCATCTCTTGTCTTGAGCACTTGACTTGATGATTGACACTTGCAATCAAGTCATCTTTAACAAGAGCTTTCCTTCAAACCAGCATGTGGAAACTGGGATGAAGCCAGCAGAAAACCTTGGGATTAGAGGGCTGGGGACTCCTCTGGGGTGGTAACTGCTAGGATTGAGGTTGCCCTATGTGCTTAGACTGCCACAGGCTGTTTGTCCCCACCCCAGCATGCTGTATATCCATCTTCTGTTGTCCCTGGGGAGTTGAACAGTGATTACACGGCATGGTGAGGAAAGTCATGAGTTTCCTGACTTAAGGATTTGAGTCAGCCTGAAACCTGAGGATCTAAAGCGACACATTGCTGCCAGGCAGGGCCTCTCCTCCACTAAGCAGCCCAAGTCTGGAAAACACCCTAGAAGGAAGGAAGGAGAGGGGGTTCTAAACTTCCTGCTTTTCCCAAGGACATTTGTGCCCTTTTTTATTTAATGGTCACTTGCCTTTGAATAAAAATGATGAAGCCAAATATTTGATTTAGAAAAAGCAGGCAAGTAATGTTCTGCTTAGGGGAAAACTGGTACCAAAACCAAGCCTCCAGCTGGCTGGAACTTCCAGCATTCTAAATTGAGTGCTAGGCCCTCAGCTCTTCTCTTCCCACTCAAACTCAGCCCTGTGGGAGATGATGGAAATCCCTCTAAAACACACAGAAACAGCTTCTAAGAATGACCTCAGTGACCAGCTAACCATCTATTCCCCATGTGTATCTGAACCTGTCTTAACTACCCTTTTGAGTGTTTCCCAAGGCTTTGGACCACATACCCCTTATTATACTGATCCCCTCAACATTTAAATATGAATCACAACCAGGCCTGGTACCGCACACCTTTAATCCCAGCACTTGAGAGACAGAAGCAGGTGGATCTCTGAGTTTGAGGCTAGCTTGGTCTACATGGCAAGTTCCAGGCCAGCTGTAACCACAGGGAGACCCTGTCTCAAACATGAACAACAACAATAGTAATAATAAATTGAGTCTTCTCCCCTATACATCCTCCCTCTGCTCCATCCCTTTCTGTAGCCATTGCCCACTATTCACAGACAAGCTTCCACAAAGAGTGGAACTTCTTCCCTCCCTTGGCTTACTGACCTCCCAGTCAATGCTCTGCTCCTCCATCTCCCCATAACATGACTCCACTGAAATTGTCTGGCTGAGGTCACCATAGAACTGCTTATTCATCCATAGACACTTCTTAATTCTTCTTTGGCCTCTGCAATACCTACACCATCAAACCCCTTCTGAGGTGACTCCCCTACAGTCATCGCTGACCACTCTAGCTCTTCTCCACCCGCTCACAAATGACTTTACACTCTTTGTCCTGGTGCCATATTCCTGTTGGGATAATTTCCATCTTTGATCTGATCTCTCCATAAATTCCTGGGCATCTTATGTTTAGGAACTGTACAACAGATTGAATCTTCACCCCAAATGGCAAACCTGTTCGAAATTCTGCAAAAATGAACTTCTGGGTAGCGACAGTACCCATCATCATCCTGTTGCCCAAACCAAAAGTCTAGAAGCCATAGATACCATGCTGTGACCATCACCAGACTCTGGATTCTAGCAAGGCGGCTGAGAACACAGGCTTTGTGTCTTCCAGTAGTCCAGATACAGGTATAGTTGTTGATATTTGACTGTTTCCTGAGTAGCCATGATTTTAAATTGGATGCTCATTGGGAGTCTTTATTTCTCAAACTGAAGACCTAGCAGTACCTAATCTGTGCCTAAATTTGCCACCAGCCTATGAGCTAGGGTCTCTCCTTTTCTCTCAAGACTGAAGTTTGAAATCTGAGCGTCTGAGAACGAGTGGTTGCCTGGAACTGGCTATAGAGAATCAAGGACCACATAAAGTTATCTTAAGATGATCTTAAGAAAAGATCTGCCAAGAGATACAGAGACACCATGGGGACACAGGGCCCTGGTCTTGCCCGGGTTCCAGAGCATCATGGTTGTCCTGGGGATTATGGGATTTTACAAGAAGCCCTCCCCCCAGTGAGCTTGGGATGGCCTACCAGATAGCTGACTAGTATTCTATATGCCATTTTAATTATACATATCAATTAGTTGTGTAGTCACGAACAGACACACACACATACGTTCCCTACCTTTGAGCTCCCTGATTTTAGGGAACCTGCCTGTCCTGCTTTTACCTAGGGCTCAGCTCAGTGCCTCACTAAGAAAGTCCCTCACAGTGGCCAACTCTCCCTACTCAAAAGGGAACAGAAACAAAGGGCCTTGTCTGTAGTGTCATGTGGCTTAAAAGAGAAGGCAAAGCAGGGATGGGTGTTGTACTTCTCCCCCAAACTACTCTGTGAGTATGCTGAGGTTCATGCTGCAGACCCTCACATTGGACTTGAGTCCCACTACCGCCACCACCACACACACAGGAAGTAAAAAGTTTTAAATGCTAGGTCACCTCCCACCGCCCCACACACCACCCCCACCCCACTACCACCCATGCACCTGGCAGGGAGGCATCTTTAGGCAGGTATGGGAAGCTGGCTCCTCAGTTTTCCAGCTGGGTAAGTCACTGAGTCATCAAGCCTCTTTGCCCATAAAGTAGAATAACCAATGTACCTTCCTAACAAGGCTATTGTTAAGATTAAATACATGGCAGAAAGGGCTTGGCAAGTGCCTGGTCCTTTATAAAAGTTAAGTGGGAGGCCGGGGAGATAGCTCAGCAATAACAGCACAAGTTGCCCTTGCAGAAGACCCAGGTTCAGTTCCCAACACCCACATGGAGGCTAACAACTATCCTTAACTCCAGTTCTAACACCCTGGCCTTTGTGGACACTACACATACGGTCCACTTATATACATGTAGACAAAATGCTCATACACATAAAAGGTAAAAGATGAGTCCCCCCACCCCCATTTCTCTAAAGATAAACTGGAAGAGGGGGAAAGTTTGGTGTTTCCATGTAATGGAGTGCAATACTTGTATATAGCAATGATCGTGGGCCAGGCAATGTTCTAAATAACCACTTAAAAAAAAAAAACAAAAACAAAAACAAAATTACCAAGGCTTGGAAAAGCAAGTGATTTGCCTGAAGTTATACAGCTGACAAGTGGCAGAGGTGAGCAAGCCCACCTTCAACCTGGATAGTTGAGTTCGACATCTGGGATCCTAATGTTTTGTACCTAGCGCATCTGCATGCTAGGGAAGTGTGGACTGTGGTCCCATTTCTCTAAAGATAAACCTGGAAGAGGGGGAAAGTTTGGTGTTTCCATGTAATGGAGCGCAATACTTGTATATAGCAATGATCATGGGCCAGGCAATGTTCTAAATAACCACTTAAAAAAAAAAACAAAAAAAACAAAAACAAAATTACCAAGGCTTGGAAAAGCAAGTGATTTGCCTGAAGTTATACAGCTGACAAGTGGCAGAGGTGAGCAAGCCCACCTTCAACCTGGATAGTTGAGTTCGACATCTGGGATCCTAATGTTTTGTACCTAGCGCATCTGCATGCTAGGGAAGTGTGGACTGTGTGGTGGAGAGCCAGTACTGGGGCCACCCACCAGGGAAATACAGTGTTTTTATGAAAAACAGAACAGGGAAGATTAGAGCTGGTGTTAAAATAAGATCACAGGAAGTTTCTTGGAAATTAAGCACAGGTTGTTACTCAAATGAATTTGCCCCCAGGAGCTACTAGGTGATCAGGCTGCAACTTGTGTAACTGGGAAGCGTGAGATCTAATTTCAGGCAGTCTGCCTCTCCCGTCAGGCTCAGGGACAGTGCCTCTCAAACTGGCTGCCTGGGACGCGCTTCGCAGTGAAGATGGCAGGTTCCATGTCTTTGCAGGCCGCCAAGAATGGGGTTCTGTGATGATAACTGTTCTCTAGCAGTCAGAGAGTTTTCAGATTTGACTTGTTTTTGCTGTTGGTGGTGGTGATGATGGTGGCGCAGACTGAGCCCTCTGCCCTCCCCTTCCTTTCCCTGTCCTTTTCTGCATTTAAGGCTCTGACTCCATATAGTTAACTTGTATGTAGGAAAGTAGGAGTGTTTGAATAATGCAAAGAATCCTTTTGTAATATGAATAATTCCTCCATTTCAAACCCATTGCAAGTTTGTTTGTTTGTTTTGTTTGTTGTTTTTTGTTTGTTTGTTTTTGGTGTTTTTGAAACAGGGTTTCCCTATAG